ACTAAGGATTGAAACGCATATGTAAAATTTATATAAAAAGTTAAAAATTACATCATATATAAAAATACATTTTTTAATAAATTTCTAAAATTGAACTTGGTAGCTTATCATTAGAAATTTAATGTGAAGAATAAATTTAAAAAACTAATTTGAGATCAAAAATCTATATGCTTGTTATGTATCTACACAATTTCATAGATACATTAAGAGTATAATAGATGATGGAAATGAAATTCATCTCCTTTGTATATGTTTAAAAGTTTCATATAAGAAAGAAAAGAATCATGATATGTAATTATCATCTTTGGGCTTTATGTTTTATCTTTAAATGAACTTCTCTCGAATGTATGTGTGAAAATACAAATTTATTGATGTATTGAAATCAATGGATAGCCTATTTATTTGATGGTGTACTTTGAGTCTAATATTGTTTTTAGCTATGAATAATATGAAAAAATACATGCGAAATTCAAGTAACTTACATCAATAAAAGTTGAAGTGAAGTCTCAACTATTACTAAAGATTATGGTATTTTCTGAAAGATTTATTGAACATTGTAAAATATTTGTTAGACTGCGTTGATGCTAATTACAAACATGAGTAAATCTTAGTCTTGCTAGTGTAAACATCATATACGGAGCAAATTATATTATTTAGTTATTTATACTCATCGGTGAGATGATAATAGAAGAATATTTTCTCAGAATTTCATTATAATATTAAAAATGGATTAGATCTTTAAGCAAAAAATATGATTTTCAAATAATTAAATTCATTTCAATTCTTGCATTGAACCAAAAAAACATTTATTGGAAAAAAATTAAGTAGATATTTTCTAGTTACAAGTTATAAATAAAAGCACAAGTAGATTTAATAAAAAAATTTGTTATCTTCATACATAATTTGATTCTATCTTTTGTTGGTTATTTTTTACTTATAATTAGTTCTAGATTATAAATAAATCTATGTTACGATTCTTTCTAAAAAAAAATTTCTTAAATAAATATATAAGTTATGAAAAGTATAGTCATCAAGATATGAACTGAAGATAACATTGTCTGCTTATAATTCTAAACCAAGAGAACTCAAACTAATTAAATATGATATTTTAAAATCCCTATTAGTTAAGTTAGATAATTTTCATATTATAAACAAAATTTATGTAATCTTTTGTAATAACCCACCAAAGGCTAAAACTGCAGTATGGTGGTAAAAAGATCGAACCCACAGGTACAGAGGCAACACACAGAGTAAAAGTGTCACGTTTAACAGACTTTTGTAGAGTTTGAATTCTCAGGCGACTGTCACTCCCAGAAATACTGCAGTGCTCGACTCGGAGGCTCGACTCGGAGGATGCTCGCAGGATGCACTGTACAGCGTAGTCACTCAACACACACACACCTGAAACTGGCAAAAGCACAACTCGGAGGTCGGTCAAGACCTCCGCTTCGGATTTCAGGGGGAAAGTGTCTCAAAAGTTCACTCAGAGGTTCTGCAGGTAGTGACTCCCACTCCGGCTTTTACTGCCCTTCCGCCAGGAAGTAGCGTAGGGAACCCGGACTGGACTTCCCACTTCGGAACGAAGCCCCTTCATACGCCGTGGACGTCACCCTCGACTCACACCAAACGCAGGGGTACAGGCCCGACTGAGAACTTAACTGAGACACAATCCAGTAACACACACACACAACCTGAATTGCAAACCAAGGCTTACACGAAGTAATAAAACTTCACTTTGGCATTCAGGGGAAACTTCCCGTAGGAGTACAATCAAGATATGTCACTCGAAGGAGTAAGGGGGAACTGTTCAAGTCTCTAACTCGCAGCCGGCTCTGAGCATCAGAAATCACCCGCAGGTGCAGATCCGCACTACTCAAGTCTCTAACCGGGTACTAGCTCTGAACATTCAGCCGAAGGTCTTCAACTACAACATACGGTAACTTCGCTATGCTGCAGCTTCTCTACGTGGTGCCAGGACCAAAATGCACAAACACGCCAAGAAAGTGAGTTCCTGATCTGCACTTCCGAAACTGGAAGAGTTCGAGGGCAAAACGCCTTGAACTACTTTATACTCTCTAAGGTCCTAACTAACACTACGCTACCCGCTAGGGTGCGAGCCGCAACAGATCCTACACCTGAGGAGTCGGCGGCTACCTTCCCCTCTAACTTACAACCTAAATCTAACCCTAACCCTAAATCTGAATCCTAAGTCTACTGTACAGAGCCGCCAGCGACTTTACATCCGAGATCTGAGGCTGAATATTTGCAGGCATGCGTGGCCGACTGAGATCAACGGCCCCACCAAATTTCAGATCCATCCGACCGTCCATCGCAGAGATATGGACTCCACAAGATCTCTGCACCGCATCCGGTTTGCCGACCTCGAGTTTGCCGACTCCGAGTTTGCCGACTTGAAGTTCGCCGACCTCGAGTTTGCCGACTCCGAGTTCTCCGAAGGCGTTGACCGCCGAAGACGCACTTCCGCACCTTTGCCTATTTGTAACAGTCACTCCCGACACCCATAACTCACAGATCCTTGATCCGTTTCAAGAGTTCTTGGGCTCGTTGAAAAGAGCGCGTCGAGCTCTTTCTAACGATACCCTAACTGAGTCAAACCGTTACGAGTTGAAAGAGTTATGCCGGTTTTATCCTTCGCCAAAGGCACACTGTCGAAGGCTTGTTATCTGTTATCGCCGAAGGCGCCCGCACGATGTTTCGCCGACTCCGAGTTCTCTGACCTCAAGTTTGCCGACTCCGAGTTTGCTGACTTGAAGTTCGCCGACCTCGAGTTTGCCGACCTCAAGTTTGCCGACCTCGAGTTTGCCGACCTCAAGTTTGCCGACTCCGAGTTTGCTGACTTGAAGTTCTTTGACCTCGAGTTTGCCGACCTCAAGTTTGCCGACTCCGAGTTTGCTGACTTGAAGTTCGCCGACCTCGAGTTCGCCGACCTCAAGTTTGCCGACTCCGAGTTTGCTGACTTGAAGTTCTTTGACCTCGAGTTCGCCGACCTCAAGTTTGCCAACTCCGAGTTCTCCGACTTGAAGTTCTTTGACCTCGAGTTCGCCGACCTCAAGTTTGCCAACTCCGAGTTCTCCGACCTCGAGTTCGCCGACCCCGAGTTCTCCGACTCCGAGTTTGCCGACTTGAAGTTGACCCGAAGAAGTACGTCGCCGAAGGCGAACATCTAGGGCCGAAGGTGGATATTTTGCCGCCGACGAACTCCTTCCGCCTATCCGTAGGCGTTCTCCTTCGCATCTTCCGACAGTCACAACTCCCTGAATCCTCATCCGTTCCAAGCGTTCTTGGGCTCGTTAGAACGAGCGCGTTGAGCTCTTTCCAACGAGACTCTAAGTAACTCAAGGCGTTAAGAATTGAGGAAGTTATGAGTGATCTACCGCCGAAGGTGCTCGAAGCGAGTCCTGCAGCGTGAACCGCCCGTTCCATTCCAAGCGTTCCACTGTGGCCTTAGCCCAAAACCCCTTGACTGTCCTCGATCCTCTTTTTACTCTGGCTTTGCGTACCGATTACTATTTACAGCTGCTACCACGGTACTTACTAGTAAAAAATGTTTTAGTTCCGGCGAAAAACAAAAAGTGGGTTACCACATCTCTTCGTGACACAGACTTAGGATGTCGGAATAAAACATATGTGGAATATTAAATTTAAAGGAATGAAGGGTTTCTTATAGTTTATATCAACTATTAATTTGACATATGGATTTACAATGGGAATTTCACACCAAACTTGTTTCGTTGCTTGTGTGATATTATTGCTTATGCAACTTTTGATACTTTCCCCAAAAGTTACTTTTGACTACTTTTCCTGTGATCGAGTCTTCCGTTCCAATTTAATAGTTTCTACAATTAACTAATTATTTTGGTAACATCTAGAATTCAAAGTAAATATTATTTTTCAAAAGATGTTTTAAATAAAAATTTTTATGAGTATAATGATTTTAGTGTATATACACCCAACACACACCCCTGCACTGCAGGGGTGCACAGCGTGCTACACCCAAGTAACTGCGCAGGTATTTGGGTGTATAGCGTGGCATTTATTGGGTGCGGATGTGTGTGTAGGAAATATATACACTAAAATCAATATCAACTTTTTTTTATATAATAAATCAACATAGTAACCATGGTTAGGTAAGAGATTCTAAATATAGTTTATAGTTTCACAACTATATCATATGTTTACATTAATTAAAATATGAAGACTCGAAATTATCCATTCAAGCGCATGTAGCAACTAGCATTTATATATCCAGTCCACGGACAAAGTAGGAATAAGACTGTTCAGGATCACACCTAGTATCAACCAAGATAATCATCTAAATTCTTTAAAGAATTTGTCTTGAAATTTCGACTGTAAGTTTGAATTGTATGTACATATGACAATCCATCATCATAATCTTTCACCCAAAATTATCCAGAAGGTATCCAAGACCGTTACAACTAGGGTTTGAATGTATGGACCTTGTCAAACATTCTGAATTGGAAGGTTGGAACTTGATTATCTCCTTGTCGTTTATAAAATACCTAACTGCTGTCAAAATTACTCATCCAACAGAATTGCCCAGAAATGCGACCAGGAGTATTGAAATGTACTATTTTTATCAAAATTTCTCGGTGGAGGGTGAATTCAGTTTAGAATGAATTTTTAGCGGCTAGTTGTTACATCCTACTACAAGCACATTGCACTGATGTCCGTGCTGATTCATGCCTATTATACCATCATGTCTCTCCTCCAACGAGATTTTTCTCCACACTCTGTAGGAGATTTATCAGCATTTAGAACTGAAACGGTGCTATTACAGGACGATGACCGACCCACTGTACACTTCTGTTGTAATTATCCTCTATCAAATCTTCAGCAATTTTAGCGTCGAAACGAGATATTACAGGACAGTCAGACCAGTACATGATCCGCTTGACACTCATGCAGTGAGTTTTCAAGGCACCAAAAACATGAAGACATACAAAAAATCCAAAGCTGCAAATCTGCGAAGAGCATGGTTTCATCGTTACTAAATTTACTGAGACTCGGAGAAAGAACTATACAGCAAGTAGACTCGAAGAGCCACACTCCACAACTTGTGCTACTTGACACTCTATGCTCAGATTCTCTCAGTCTACAATACATCCTCGTTAAGGAGGATTATTTTTCAGAGCACGACATTGAACTATTTTCCTTTTAGGGACAGTGTTCTACTGCTTGGCTACTGAACAAGAGCACGGCGTGTTCAGATGAATGGAAGTACCTAATGAGCAGTCCGGCAGCACGAGGCAACCAGGAAAGCCACCATCAACCGGCACCCCATCGCTCACCAAGCACAGGTAACAAAACAACCAGTCCAAACTGCAACTCCAACCAGCTGGAACGTGCATTCTGCTGTGGTATAAGCCAGCAGGAAATCACTCCGACTGCACTAGTTCGAGGGATCGATTTTCACGCAATTAAGCGAATTTCAAATCCTATTGTACCGATCCATGGAGCTGTTAGTGCCTCTTGTATAAACATTATATGCGAACTATGTACGCGTAGAGTGATCTTCCTTTCATACTGGGGCTGTATAAGCTTGAGAAGACGCTGCCACGGCGGCATCGCGCTTGGCATCTCTGTTCCATTTCACTCTCAGGACAATCAACGAGACCAGCACGAAGGCCCAGTACATGAAGTACGAAGTCAGAGTTCCCACTGTCGCCTCGTCTCGCCATCCCACCACAGCGTTCAGCAGCTTCCAGATGCCATTTCCTTTGTGATGGCAGCAGTGCAGCTTCCACACCATCTTCTCGTTCTCCGTGTACTCCTCGAACTCGTGCACGGCCCCTGCGAACAGACCGGCCGCGATCACCAGCAGCAACGCCGTCGAAGCTCCGAGGAACCACTTGAACGCCACATGGTTGCCTCCCTTGTACAGCGCGAACCCGATGGCGATCCCGCACAATGCTCCGGTGATGGCTGCCAGAGGGTACGCTGTGCCCGAGCCTTCCAGCCCGATACCTCCCAGGAAGATCACGGCCTCCACGCCCTCGCGCAGGACGATGGTGAACGGGATCAGGAAGAGGGCGTACTTGCTCCTGGTGCTCTGCATAGTGCCGTACTTCTCCACGCTGTCCACCGTGACCTTGGTCAGCTTCTTCTCCCATTTCGCCCTCCATGTGTCCACTCTGATCATGGAGAAGGCCATGAGTGTGATGAGCACCACCGCGATCAGGCTCAGAATTCCCTCCCACAGAGCCTCCGTGTTGTCCCAGGCATCCTTGGCCACAGTGTAGTACAGGGACAGGAAGATGGCGGCGGCCACCAGAGACAGCACCACCCCGAGGACTACTCCACCCCAAACTTGCTTCTGCAGGCTCCTGAGCATGGTCCTCTCCGGTACGACCTTCTTCAGGAGAGACAGCATCACAGACAAGATGATCGACGCCTCCAGCGTCTCACGGAAGAGGATGAAGAACGCAGGCACGCTGAATACTTCCACCATCTTGGCTGACTGCGGTGTCGACTGATTGACAAAGCGGCTGCGGCTGCAGGAGTCAGGCCAGGAAGTGGCTGCGGGAGAGCTCAGAGCATCGCTGAGATGTGGGCGAGATGTTCAGGCAGCTCAGAGCATCGGAACTGAGAAGGGGCTGTCGAGGTAGCACCGAAAGTACATCAAAGGACGAGAGAGTACATATGTGCGGGTAGCACCGAGAGTACGATGCAGGACGAGATACTACTCGAGATGCGTTCCACTTATACTCTTGCCCATCTCGTGATAGAGCGAAATCGGAAGCTCGGCACGACCACGTAAGCTCACGTAGGAAGCAAACAAACAAACGTCAAGAGTATGTCGGCCCCAAGCAGAATGAGCCCGGCACACTCCCGGCACGCTCACTGCATGCTGTCATGGCAGATCTACCGGGCTCCATTGGAGAAATCTCGCCTCCAAATTCTAGCGAAAAATAGTCTGCCTTGCTCGCGAGACGGACCGATTGGTCCCTTCGTTGATCTCTCCGGCGAATGAGGTCCAGGTCAATCCTCGGAGACAAAAGGTTCGACAACTTGGTGTTGACTTGTGAAAAGATTCACTTTCTTCAGTCCAGAGAGACACTCGAAAGAATCTGGAATTCCTTGTTTTGTGCTCCGTTGTCTCCATCCATGCCCTGTCCGGATACTGTCTGCCCAGGAAATACCTGCTCGATTGTAGGGCTGCACCGCCTTGGATGGTGTCGGTCCGGTCAGTGCCTGTGGTCTGAGGCAGCCATCTTCAGGACAAGGTTGTATCCCACACGTGGTTCGAGCTGCAATTTTGCAAACACATACAGCAACAGTTTGAGCTGCGGTCGAGTCGGCCAGCCCCGTGCTGGACATGTGCCGACCATGATCGGTGTGAAGTGTCAGCGGAATCCGAGTTGCGCTTGTGCTCACGAGGGCTTCCACCGTTTCAGTCCAGGCTTAGGGAGGAATGAATGAAATCTTCGGAAGGAGTTATCACGATTATGACCGCGATGGTGTTCATTTGTCAGTCTTCGTCGACATGCATCTGCGAGGATATATGGAAATATTGATTCCCAGAACCATAGCTCGAAATATCTTATCCGGGATCGTTGTCTCTCGTTTCCTCAACTGTCGCTCGTTTTTCTCTTCATAATCTGCACCCCGTGGTGAGTTACTCACCTCTGGCCCCTGCGTGTTACATCGTTCGCCGTGAGCCTGTTGACTTCAGAATGTTGTAGGGCCGAGAAATTCCCATCTCACCTCGTGACGAAAATGTGTTTCTATGACGTACGGGCATCTGGCACGGATATGTTGATCCTTTTCAGAACGGATCTTTACCAGGTGGCGACTCTGTGTCTTTGAGAGAAGTTGGGATCCGAAAATCAGATTCTCGAGGTCGAATCATTCCAGTTTACACCAGAGATGCGATGCAAGACTGAAAAGTAATTTTCTTCTCGTCTGAGGAGAGCAGCTTTTGAGGAGATCCGACAAATTAGCTTTGCAGATCAGTCTCCAGGCTGACGGGCACTTCTCCTCCAAGGCTCTTCCGCGAGATCCGAAGTCAGTTAAGACTCCTCATCGCTCGAAGCTGCCGTTCAGGTGTAAAGGCAATGCCAGAGGGGTGCGAGGAACTAACTTAGTTCCTCGGAGTGATCTTGCCTTCGATTGTCCATTCTGAACGGATTACGATGACGACTGCATTCTTCCTATTCGTGTTTTCAAGTCGGAACAGTCACGTCACTCCGTCTTTTCTCACGTATTTTCAATCCGGAATAATATATCCTTACAGGAGGATCTCAGGGATCCAAGAACTTGATAAGTGAGGCAAGCACCACCGATTGAAGTCGGGATCGGTGATTCCATTCTGACCCGCTTTGTTCCATGCAGGGAAAACACATATGGCTGCGATCGTTTTAGATCACAACCTTGAGTCCCCGGAAGACATGATGACGAACCACAAGCCACGGTTTTATCTGATACACGGAATTGACTTGAATTGAATTGTACCGAAGACAACGGAAGAAGCTCCAGATGCCGTGGGTGAGTAGTCCCACAAATGGTGGAGCGACAATATTCTCTTTCTCTTACCCATCCCTCCCTCCGTGACTCTCCCCGTTGTATGCTGCCAATCCGCGCTTACATGCGAAGCGCATCCAACTCTAGTTTTTGTCGCTGTACAGTTTTGGAACAATGTTCGTGGAATCATCGCCATTGCAGAATCAAAGTTGCGGCAATATGTGAACGATAGAAAGTGATCGATTGTCGCATCGAATAGCCGGAAGAATATGCGTCGTAGAGTGGTTTCAGAATGAGAGAGCCCCCTTTCAATGCAATTTTTAGTTTGAAAGAGAGTTGTTTCCTTCCTGCTTTGACATCAAGCGAGAATAAGCATGGTAACGCTCTGGCGACTCAGATTAGGATCAAGTGTGAATTGCAGTACTTACTCGATCGAAATTTAACCTCGTGTGTTCGAATGAGGATGATGCACGTCGCTGTGCTGATCAACATTGATTGCATGATTCTCATCTGACTACAGTAACTAGACTCTGAAATTGATTCTCGCGAAAGGACAAAACCAGAATGGCTGCCATAGCGGGAGGAAGGATGGAGGGGAGCGGGCAAGCCCCAACTTGGCAGCGTAGATTTTGTGACAGGGGCTTTTCTTCGTTGCGGCCAGCCCAATTCGTTCCATGTCATTAAATGATAAATCGATCAATACCGTCAAAAGCTAAAAGGCACAATATAAGAAAATACCCTAAACATCAATCCCTAGCACTAGAACCAAGAAAAAAAACCACAAACAAAACAAAAGACAAGACACTAAATATCAATACCGAAATCATGCCAAGAGCACTGGAATTAAACTTTACGTGAAGTTCTGTAAAATTGGAGCTACTAGTTATCCTTCATTTAGTGCTGATTAGCCTTCACTTACTCCAATATCTTCTCCCGTTGGTAGATGCAAGGTTATAGGTGACTAGATGAATAGCAATAATGGTAGGGTGTAGTGTATTAGATCATGATGAGGGCTAATTAGACCTAAGTGAATGATAATTAGTTCAATTTTTTGGACGGAGATCTATAATACTATATAATACAATTTAATACCAAATCTATTATACAAAGCTCAAAGGAAAATCTTAATCAAAAATTTTACTGTGGTAAAATTTTTGATTAAGATTATCACCTTCTCTCTCTACACCTTAAAGCTTTTGATATCCTGATCATGCATGTCATCAATGCCGTAAGATATGTAAACATTAAAACTCAGAACTCATCATTCAATCACATCGACACCAGAGTATAACATGTACACCAGAGACACGAAATTATAACGTGGTTCACCCTCAAGAGCTACGTCCACGGGGAGAAGAGCACTAGAGAGTTTACTGTTTGAAGTGATACTCTTACTCTCACCCTCGGGGTATATATACCCAAGGTAATCAACCACTCTAAGCTATAAATAGCTACATATGTGGTTAACCTTGGTTAACTAACCTCAGTTAACTCCTTAATTAGAGTTAACATCAACAATCTCCCCCTTAACTCGCGTTAAGGAGTCTCACTAACCTCTCTAACCTATATTATTACTGAACAAAAAAATCTACACAGAATCCTGACTGAATGTCCCTCTTTAAACGAGAGTTAACTGGAACTAAGCCGTAGCCATGACAGGATAGAGTAATAATATATAGAGGTAACTCAACAATCTCACCTTAACTCATGCCAAGGAATTTTTTTAGTCACCTCTCTAACCTATATTATTACCCTCATACCAAGATAGAGTAATAATATACAGAGGTAACTCAACAATCTCACCCTAACTCATGTCAAGGAATTTTAGTCAACTTTCTAATCTGTATTATTACTCTGCGGAAAGTTCTAGACGGAAACCTATCACAAGGTCCCTCTTTAAACGAGAGTTAACTTAACATAAGCCGTAGCCATAAGAGTATAGAGTAACAATATACGGAGGTAACTAAGTACCATATCTCTCGTGATACCTATGCACAACTTGCATAGTAGCACAATGTCGTCTGAAACTCTCCAAAGGAATAACTTTGGTCAACGCATCAGCTGGATTGAGTTTACCGTCAATCTTGACTAGCTCAATTGTTTTATCAGACACCGCTTGTCTAATAAAGTGATACCTGATGTCAATGTGCTTCACTCTGCTATCCATGATTTGGTTCGCAGCCAAATGTAAAGCACTTTGGCTATCACAATGAAGATTGACCACGCCTTGTGTTAGTTCCATCTCCATGATAAGCTTATCTAACCAAATAGCTTCCTTTGCTGCTTCTGCTGCTGCCACGTACTCAGCTTCTGTTGTTGACTGAGCTACGCACTTCTGCAAAGTAGATCTCCAACTAATGCTTCCGTCACCAAGTGTAAACACATATCCGGTTGTAGATCTCATCTTGTTTAAATCTTGTCCATAGTCAGTATCAACGTAGCCAAACACGGACTTGGCATTGTCTAATAAACCATCAAAAATAAGCCATAATACACAGTATTCTTCAGATATCTCAAAATCCATTTCACTGCTTCCCAGTGAAATTTTCCTGGATTCGACATGTACCTGCTCACCTTGCCCACTGCTAGAGCAATATCAGGCCTAGTGCACACCATTAAATACATGAGACTACATATAGCTTGTTCATAGGCAACACATGACATTCTTCTCTTTTCCACAGCATCTGTAGGACATTGAGCTGCGGAGAGTTTAAAATGTGCCGGCATAGGAGTCCATAGTCCTTTCGAATCGGCCATGTTGAACCTGTCAAGTATACGGCGAACATACTTGCCCTGACTCAGCCATAGCTTCTTCTGTTCAAAATCTCTATGAATATCCATGCCTAGTATCCTTCTTGACTCCTCCATAGCCTTCATCTTAAATGCAGACTTCAGTTGGCTCTTGCATTCATCGACATCAGATTGGTTTTTTGCCAAGATAAGCATGTCGTCAACGTAGAGTACTAAAATGATGAGATTGAAAGTCTCATCATCCACCTTCTTCATATAAACACAAGGATCATACACACTTCGTAGAAAACCTTGTGCCTTCATAAACTCATCAAAACGTGTATTCCACTGCCTAAGAGCTTGCTTCAGTCCATACAATGATTTCAATAATCTACAAACCCACCTCTCTTGGCCTTTAACCTCAAAGCCAATTGGTTGTCTCATGTAGATCTCCTCTTCTAAATATCCATAAAGAAAAGCTGTAACCACATCCATTTG